ATATATATAATTAATACTGTATTTTATTATGGTGTTATTACACTGAAAATGGGGAACTGCTGTCTCATTAATCACACAACTGTTTGATTTTTGTAATGTAACAGTGGCTGTTGCACTGAGCTTGTTTTTGTGCAAGAATGGCAGTGAGTCAACAATTAAAAGGACCAGGGTTTTTTTTTAAGGTACTTTAGACCAAGTTTGTCCTGCAGAAGCACATAAACAGTGCAGCAAAGGACAGAGTGACATTATATGATCTGGCTACACTTTTCTCTGAGTGTCCTTTTATTCTTAGAAAAAATGGACCTATTTTATTAGGCTTTTCCACTCAGGAAATCATCTTGGCAGCTATCCCTGTAAGTAATGCATCACAGTAAATTGCCCCTGTGTTCTCCAGCATAATCCACAACCTTTCTAATGACTTTTAAAAGGACAATACTTTGTCCTCTGTGTTTTTTAGGACGATACATTTTTGGACATGACACTTTTTTTGCTTTGACATCAAGGCACAAAAGTTACTGGACAACTAACTGACAAACTTTTTCATGGCCAACTGAGACATGTGCCCTCATTATTTTGAGATGGAATCAACTGCATGTCCTTTATCCAAGTGTATTTGATAGTTTTCACTGGACGCTTTTATGAGGTCCAAAGAGATGTTGAAGTAAGTTAGGGAACACATCATTAGGCCGAAAAACCATAATAAAGCAATCAGAGAGACAGCAAAGACTTTAGCAGTGGTCAAATCGACATTCTGATTCACTTTTAAAAAGACTGAAGACCAAAAGGCCTGAAGGCGACTGAGGCCAGTGCATGATCGCAGAATCATTTCCTCGAATAAGAAAAACAGTTCACACTTCTAACCAAGTAAAGAAAAGTCTCAAGTTGGTAGTTGAATCACTGTCAACTTCAATTAAGCCTCCAATTAAGAGACACCTTTGTGGATGGAAACAGAGACACACAGGTGCAAACCAGTGTTTACACTCAAGTGCAAGAATTTCAGATCAGGGTGTAATAGAAAACACCTAAATAAGCCTGTACAGTTCTACAAAAGGAAAAAACAAAATGAAACCAAGACGAACTTGTACCAGAATGATAGGAAAGAAAAGCATTGAAAAGGAGAGAAACCGCTGATGATCATCATCTGTCAAACATGGTGGAGGCAATGCTATGGCATGCGAATGGGCCATTAGTGTTTATAGATGATGTAACGGCTGATAGAAGCAGCAGGACGAATTGTGAATCATACAAGGCGACACTGCTCAGATTCAACCGAATGCTACAAAACTGATCAGACAGTACTTCACAGTGATAGTGGATAACGACCCAAACATAGTGCAAAAACAGCCCAGCGTCAAAGACAGTCACCTGATCTCTACCCAGCAGATCAGCTTGTTAGCTATTAAATACAAAACTGAATGAAAAGACTCAAACAAGCAGCAGCTGAAGGCGACTGCAGTAAAAGCCTGACGTCTCAAGGGAACAAATGCAGCATTTGGTGATGTCTGTGGCTTCTAGACTTCAAGCAGTCATTCACTGCAGAGGATTTTTCATTCAAGTATTAAAAACAATCCTCATAGCATTTTAATATCACTGGTTTCCATTCATCCATAATATGAGTTCTGCCTTTATTCCTAAATCTGGGTGATCATGAGGATATGCCGCTGCACTTTAAAGTCAAGCTAATGCATTATCAGCCACACGGACAGTTACATAGAGCTGGTACATTAATTCATAACAAGGCTACTGAAAACAGTGGCAACTGTTCAGTAACTGCAGTAACAGGTTTTCCAAAATGGCAAAATGGGAGTTTCTCACAACCCAGAAGTTGTGAATACGCATAAAGCTGATTATTTACAAAAAACAAGTATGAAACAAAAAGCGCATTATGTGAGCCTCGTTTCTTGGGAAGGACGAAAAAAAGCATAAAACCCCCCAAAACAAAAAAACAAAAAAACCCGCCCCCGAGATTATCGACACGTGACGACTTTATTAGCGCGCGCGCGTATCTAGCTTCAAAGGATCAAGTCTGGACACGAAATAAAAACAAATCATAAGTACTCTCATTTAAGATTTAGCACTCAGTTGAGGAGTAAGGGGAGGAGATGGTGGTGGGCGTGGTGGAGAGGTGGGGCGGAGCGGGCCGGCCCAGCTGCATCTAAAATTTCCTGAACACAAGCACACATCCAGCTGTCGGCGAGATGTGAGAGCTGCAGTCGGCGAAGGTCTGAAGGTGTGTCTGTCACTGCTGTCCCTCCTGTCGCCTTGCCCCTCAGCGCGCGAGCGGCTGTGAGAAAAAGAAAGAGAGCACGAGTGAAACAGAGAGAGAGAGAAGTTTCCGCTGTCTTTAGGCGCACGGTCGCCGATCGTTCACGTAACACGATGGCACGGCTGTGTCAGTGTGTATCGCTGTCGCTGTTGGAAGCTTGGCTGCTTTCATGAAAGCTAGGAAAACGGAAAAAACCCCGAAAGTGACACCATGGCAGAATTTGGAGAAAACATGAGCGCCGTCGGTCCACCGGTTGCTGGCTGTAAAGCTGCGTCAGGGGGAACCGGAACGAGCCTGGAGACGCACCGAGGAGAGCCTGTGTCGAACGGCAGCTGCAGCGTGCCAAACGCCGGCAAGAAGGTCCAGAACGATTCCAGCTGCGAGTCTCCGAAGTGGGAGAGCACGGGTCCAGACTCAGCTGCTAAACCAATCCCTCGACGCAGCAGTCTGATCAAGGTAGGCCACCAGTTTCATCAGCAGAAAACGGCTCATCTTCCTTATTGGGGGGGGGGGGATGCAAACTGTTGCAACTCCAGAAAACACCGAAAGCATGTCTCATATAGCGCAAAGCACTTGAATTAGAGAGCGTCACGACCAGCAGTGCAGAAACGCCACGCTGATACTGTGTTGTTGTTGATTTAAGTGAGAATAAAAGCTCCACCGAGCCGTGCGCAGATGTGGCGACTTATCACCAAAGAATATCTCGCCAACACTACTCGATAGAATCAAGTTGTAATCTGGAAATAAACTGTTACGCTGCATTGTGACACATTCTGTTAACTTCCTGACCGTGTGTGCCAAATAGGCAACAATCAGGCCCCTCATCTCACCTCGTGTGTGCTGCTGGATGAAGGCATGCTGTGCATTAAGATGCACATCAGGCTAGTTCCTGTCACACTGGAGATGATTGTGTGTGTGTGTGTGTGTGTCACATATTTAGAGGACAAGTGTTGCCCTTTGGGCCCACGACTTCAAACCAAAACTTGCTCACAGTTCCAAATTTGCTTTGCCATACAGCTTCAAGCAGCGTTACCTAAAGGCATCCTGTCAGTGCAAGACCAGAGTAGGAGCTAATAGGTGAAACCACCTGCTGCAGCCTTTGATTAAAATGGGAAATTACATTCACTCCATCCTCTGTGGCCCACAGTAGACTACAAGACCCCCCACCCCATGTTCAATTAACCGCTCTGCCCACACTTACCTGAGTGTCTACGCGAGCAAACGTTTATTGAATGAAAGCCTCCAGACTTAATCATACCCCCCAATACACCCACACCCACCCCACTGGAACAACGTTTCAGATATTGCCAGATCAATAACATCTAATTAATGAGTTATCCCCTGAGTTTGTCCTTTTATGGTTTTAGGCCTCCCTCTAGACCCGTGGGAGGTCTCGTATTGATCTCCAGTTGCTACTTGTCTCTAGAGCTGCTGCCTGTAAGGACTTGATTATTTGCACATGCCATCGTCCGAGTACCATTGGCTGTAACTCAGCAAGACAGGATGCCAGCCTGTTGGCCAATTTCCTCACACAGTTCGTTTTGCAATATTGCTATTAAGTCATGAACAGTTGGTTATGACAAGTCACTTTCACTGCACACACACAGGCAAATGTTTCTCACTTCCTCGCCCACACGCAGGCCGGCTCCTGTCTTTCTTCTGTTACCCTGGACGCTGTGGCCAGCTTGACACAAAGCATTAAAAAAAAAAATCTCTTTGCTTCATTGTGGGTCGCAAATGTTGTCCAAATACCTCCTGGCGAGGGCCACACCTGATACACAGCGCCACGTTTGATGTGTGATGTTTAATGGCTCCAGGACATCACTCTGACCCGCTGCTACAATGGATGGTGATGAAGGACAGCGTGGGAAAGCTCGCTGTACGCATCACATGCCTCCTTTGTGTCAAAGCAAAAAACGATCACGATTCGGTGCTCGCGTTTATAGGTTTCAGAGGGATGCAAAAAAAAAAAAAAAGCGAGGGGTTATGAGTGCATCTGTCAGCACAACAGCACCACACAACACTTGTTTGCTTGACTATGGCAAAACACAGAATTGCTCACAACAGGAGTCTGGGTGGTATGTAGGTAGATAAACAGGAAGCATGACATTCCAGAGCGGTTTTAACAGGAGTCAGGGATTCATGTCCTGCGTTTGTATGTTCGCAGTAGCTTCGGCTGCAGTATCAGGAGGTCTCGGCAACTGTAATTCCTCAGTGTGGGCTTTATTCCACCTGCAAATCCATTTTTTTCCTGCCATGCTCTCATGTGCATGATCAGGAGTTTATGCCTGCTTTGAGTTCATCTTGATGTAGATAACATCAGGTAGTCTCCGAGTTTCAAACACCGCACACTTGCACAGACCTGCCTTCTAGTAAAATACAGCTTGGCACAGCTGATATCTGCTTTCCTCTTCACTCATTATTCATGCCAACATAACTTTAGAAAACACCCGGAAAGTGTTGCTGCATGTTTGTGAGAGTGTGTGTGTTTAATATGACACAAGGCGTATGTGTGGATACTGCAGTCCTGTACAAACTGTATATATTCAAAGATTTTTCCTTTTTCTTTTTGTATGAACTGCTTTTCCTCTGCATTTATAAATTATGCAGTGTGTTGTAACACTTACACTTGTCTGAGTAAGTAAAGGAGTCATTTGACATTTTGGATTACTCTTCCTTTCTCGCCAAGCATTATATTAGAAGACAGACAGCACTCGTATATCTATTAAGCCTGAATAATGGTCGTCTCGGCCTTGCGTAAACACTGAAAGCAAAAAGCAACAGCTCCCCGGGTTCCAGGTGTAATTTGTAACAGTCAGGTAGGAGGTTGGTATCGCTTTTGTAGCTTAGCTCTCATAAAGACAACAAATTAGTTCCACCTACCTGATATATTGTGAAGCCCCCCCCCCCCATGTGTTGCCAAAGCATCGATGACCTCTTGGGTGCATGGAGACAGGACCAGTGGGGGTGTTCTAGCAGCAGATACTTTGGCTTCTGCATGCCGTGGCTTCTGTTTGTACGTCTGGATGTTCGTATATGTGGGTTTGGGGAGATGGGAGGCTGGTTTAACGCCATGGGCACTTTGCAGTAGGCGGTGACTGCTGCCATCAGTGAGCATCATTACCACGAGGACTCTGCTTGATCTGCACCAATGTCTTGATGGGTGGTGTGTATCACGGTAACATCTGGCTTTATTGCCAGAATCCAAGGTTTCCCAGCAGCATATCGCTTTGTAAATGTCACCTGAAAATGGTTTTTAATGTTGTGGCTGGCTGGTGTATAGAGTGTGTGTGTATACACATTATTTGTATTTTCTACCGTGGTCACGTTCAGTGGTGTGATCCGGGTGTGTGCCTGGAACGTGCGTGTCACTGCGTGTTTTTCAAACTGAGGGAGCAGCATTTGCTGGAGGTGAACACAGCTGGGGAGGATAGCTGATGGAGTGAGAGTGAGCCCCCGAGCACAGTTCACATCAACATCTTTAGTCAGCTTTGTACCGCTTCAGCCTGCATAAGCATGACCCTGCACAGCACGAGGAGGGGATCAAGCTTCCTACTGACTGTGACGGAGCTGCAGGACAGTCTCCCTAATAGCTGACAGCTCATAGCTTTAGCTGCTCCACACATGCACTCTAAATTCGTTGCAAAAGGACCCCATATAAGTGCAGCGACAGGTGCTGATGAGTTACGTGAGAAACTCACTTGGCTATGCGCTTGCAGGTGTTGCCCGACTTAGTCCTCAGCAGCCTGTTCTTGGTATTAACGGACCCGCTCTTTCTTCAGTAAATGCGTCTCTGACGTTTGTCAGCTGAAATTGTGGTTATCTCTCTGACAAGGTGACCTTTTTCAAGTCAACCTTTTGCTTGTTTCACTTTGTGTGTGTGTGTGTGTGTGCGCGCACATGGGACTTCAAAAGGTTCTAAGCGTAAAAGAGCATCTGCTGCTCTTCTTGCCACAAGGGCAGGTGTTCATAGTCAGAGCGAGCAGCTGAGTTACTGCGAAGGCTCGCCACATTTTCCCATACATGGAGCCTCAGACAGAGCTGACCACACGCTGCTTCGTCTGCTCTATTTATCTCCAGTGTCCTGGGCTCTGTTGTGGCCACACATGTGCACCCGACACCCATCACCCCACCCAACATACAGATACCAAGCATGTGAACACGAGATCAGCGTGCGATTAGTCTGCCTTAATGCATGAAGAATTGGCCTGATTAGTGCAGCAATGTGCAACTGTTTAACTCATCAGTTAAGGCAAGAGCAGTTCAGTCTCTTTTGTTGATTGGAAAAAAAAAAACAAAAAAAAAACAACGTCTCCATATACATGAAAAATATAAACAATCCTTTCATTAGAAAACCAGCTGTTATTCACCCCATTTTAATGTGGTTCTAAATCACATCCTTGGCCCCCCTGGTTGCACGGTGCTCCAGGGTAAAAGACTCTTGGAGGGAAAAAAAATCTATGCTCTTAAGAGTCTATAATCCACTGTCAAACAGTCCGGAGGCAGGACCCCTTTCCAATTTTCACTCCTGTATTCTTTTCCTCTCACTTAAACAGCCGTCTTTCATTCTATTTCTGTCTCATTTAACAAATCAAAGGCAACTTCCTTTGATGACCTACATCTTCATCCTGCTAGTATGATGTACCAGCTATGTCATCTCGCAAGCTCATACATGACACAATGCACTCGTTTTTTTTCTTCTTCTTCTGACTGCACCGCGTCCTGAACCCTGCGGGAGACCAAGTGCAAATCCTCTGATCGTGTGCACTGAAGATATTTAGCAATCAAGCTAGAGAACATCTTTATCTATTTCTCTTTGCACTTATTTTTCAGAAGTTTATCTGCTTCCTCTTTCCTGTGTTAGCTAGAATTTGCTGTAACGTCTCTTGTACTCTGTGTCCTTCCCTAAAAACTGCCTCTAGTGTGCTCTGCCACCCAGTTCCTCCCATTTCTCTCACTCTCCATCTATCTGTCCCTGTATTCGTCCATCCATCCATCCCGGATTTCTCCATCTGTTCAGTCAGTGTCGAAATCCTAACAGGGACATCAGTAATCTCGTAGTCTCACGATAATCCGAATCTATCTGCAGTAATCTTTTGTGTAGTTTGAACAATTAAAAACTTGCAGACAAAGCCTCATTTTTGCTTTGGTATTAAATGTCAGTGAATTTGCAGTTTTGGTTCTCGTGACTCTTTTTTTTTTTTTTTTTTAAACATTTTTTTAATCAGTTGTTTTTGGTTTCAGGAGGAAACTCCAACACTTTCACTGCTTTTAAAGCCCATATGGTACAATAGATATTCACTTCATGCATCTTGCCCATGTGAGCAACCCTACCCTTTTCCTACTTTTCGTGCAGCGTGGAAGGACAACTGCAAATGACTGTTAACGTGTCAATAGTTGAACAATTAAGAAAGACTGTTAGTCTGCATGGCTGGTATTGCAACATTATGAGAGATCAGTTTCTTCATAGTCATGTTCATGACTTGTTGGTCACATTGTTAAACCTAAAAATAACCATATCAAGTAGAAGGGTTTCACACGTTATTTTTTTTTTCCGCTCTGTCTCTCTCTATCGTCACTTTACTCAAGTCTTGGTGGAGCCCACAGGAAACTCTCTGTGACGGGCTGACAGGCTTCCTGTTTTGAAGCGCAGTTGGTGGTTTTAGAGGCTCATCTCTGTGTGTGAGAAAAAAAAGCAGACTGAGACATGCAGTATAGAAGTACAAAGTAAATGGGAAATCTTATACGGGAATGGAGGCAGAACTTGTTTTTTTTGTTTGTTTGTTTGTTTTCCGTGTCCTTGGGTGTTCCAGTCTGATTTAATAGCGTGCCTGTTCTTTTATTTATTTATTTATTTTGTAAGAAAAATCGATGTGTTTTCATTTGCATTTTTATTCAGTTGTTTATCCACTTGCGGGGTTAAAATGTGCCCTCCAGTTTTATCTTGCCGAAATAATTTATTTAGCTCCTGACGTCAGTGCTAGGTGGTTTGATGTTTAAGCTCTTTGTCTCTTTCTGTCAGTAATTTATGTCAGAGGATAACAGGGGTGATCAATCACAGCTTTTTGCAAAGCATGGCAAGGATTTAGTTTGTCGTAATTTCGAGTTTTGCTAGTGGTCAAGTGACGTGCAAATGTCAGTAGAGATGATGATGATGATGGGTAATATGTGCACTGCAATTGGGTGCAGATCCAACCACAGAGAGACCCTTACTGGTAATGCCACAGACAGGAAGTGATGCACATTGAGGCCATCATAAGTCTCTTGTGCCTGTCAGTGCAGTGCATGACGGCGAAAAGAAATTCGTGAATGATTGGGTGGTCCTCCAAACTGCTGTGCGAAGGTGCATCCATCTCCATTTTTGTTTGCCGTGCCTCATTCTGGGTCACTGGGAACTTTGCCAGTTTTTCCAAATGAATTATTTTAACAGGACAGAATCTTGGTTTGATTTTCAGATTTCCCCCCTGCTGATGCATCTGAGTCTTTCTAACCGAGTTAAATTTAGAGGTGTTGGTGCAACGGTGCACAGGGGTGTGGGATTTTTAACAAGAAAACGAAATCAGAGTTTTTAATTTTTTCTTTTTCATTCTGTAGTTTTCATATTGGAAGGGCATCTCCTCCACACCCCCTCTCGCTCCCTGTATCATCCCTGCAGGCACCAGGGGTATTTTTAGAGCACTCCCTCATTAAAGTGACTCAAAAAAAAAAAAGAGTTATTGTGATTGGAAACACTTTCCTGTCCTAATGAGGCGATTGATTCTGTGAGGATTTGAGATGGTTATGTGCCCTTCTTTCCGTCTGAGGGGAGCGTCTTCGTCCTCTGTTAATTATGCCCACCCCCCTTTATCACGTGTTCATTCATATTCCTCAGATGAAACGCAGCTCCCTCCCCCCCTTCTGCCCTCTCTCTCTTATCTCTTTTTGCCTTTCATGTCCGCTGGGTTTCCTTCATATCAAGTGCTGCCTCTCTCTCCCCTCATAAAAGACACAAGTGCTCTCGAGGTTCATATGAAGTCTTATTTGAATGAAACCAGAGTTGTGCAGATGAGTAGGGATTCATCAGCCGCCGATCAATATTCACATATATTTGCTCTGAATGCGAAAACATTATGCTGCTAAGCAGCAATCTGTTAGACTTGTATTTAAAAAGCTTGTATTTAAAAATAAATAAATAAATTAAGGATTGTTTGCTTGTTAGCTATGGACCAACAGAGTGCTGGATTTGATCTTCCTCTGTGCTGCTTTGATTTGTTCACTGTTTCAAAACAACCCTTGCAAATGTATCAGTCTTTCAGACAGGGATATTGCTCTTGTGCGCCTCAGCGTCATACCTTAAATTGGTTAATTACTTGGTTAACAGCTAAAAATGGTATGAATTCACGGATTTTGATTTATTTCTTTATTTAGTTTTGGTCTTTTTGCAGAATTCCAGTTTCCACTTTGAAATGTGAATCATGCAAAGCTAACCTTGTAACCATTACTACATGAACAATTTCCAAACCAAGCCATTTTACCCCCTCCCTTTAACACGACCTTTATGATTGGCTGTCCCTTGCAAACAGAAGGTTTGCTGTGCTAACAGCCAAAGCTTTTTGCCATATTAAGGAGATCAGTTCTAATTGTGGATCATGAGGCATCATCCAAATTAAGAAGCTTTTTTTTTTTTGACTTATAGGGAATACTTCCACATGTGATGATTGCACCATTTGGAACTGTGGTCATGTTTATCCACCATAGTGCTGCTGATCATGAGGTAGAGCAGTTCATCCACCCAAGCAGACGGTGGATCGATTCCCTCGGGTACTCCAGTATTTTGACATGCCCACTATGGTGGGCAAGGTACTGAAGCTATCGGCGTATATGTGTTTGAACAAATGTTCTGGTACAGACAAAAGTGCTTGTGTGAATGTGCATATAAACTGGTGAATGAGGCTTGCAGTAGAAAAGATCTATATAACTTTCAGTCCATTTATCATTTATAACAATATATGTATAAGACATAAATAAGGCAAAGGATAGTAGGTCCACTTTAAGGGCATAAAATATTGATTAAATAAATTAAGGAACAATCACTGACACGATAATCTCTAATTAAAAATTTATGGGTAATTGCAGTGCTACAATGTTCTATTTCTCATCAATTACATTTTGCCTCCTTGCTTCTGAGAGTCACCAGCAGGTTGAGTTTGTGGGTGTTCTCAGTCAGGCTACTCAGCTGTAATTAAGTTATCCTGCTCCTCTTTGGAGCGTCAATTAAGTCTCTGATTTCATTTAATCAGGACTAGTATATCCATTATTGAATATATTTGCCCACATATATGCTCTTATCTGCAAGCATGAGGCTCTTTGCGGGGGCGACATCTGATTGGTCAATAAATCAGATGGATGAGCTGTGATGGTGTGCTCAGATAAACCGATTGGGTCGGCCTGTGTCATTGTGGAGGGGCAGAATTAGAATGCTGGAGCCTGCTGCTTCCGTCTAGTCAGGTGTGATTAATGGTGAAGGGCAAGAACGAGCAAAGGCTTTTAGCCTGGTATCAGGAAGAACAATAACAAATTGGGAGGAGGTGGCTCTATGAGGTAGACCCAATAATCTCATTTAGGTTTGGTTATATAAGCTGATATGTATTTTAATCCTTTGTGATCCATTCAACGCTGAAAAACTGTTGTCATGACTAAGCAAAGAGTACTCTTCAGAGGGATCGCTCTCTGCCTGAGTCATTTTTCTTATTATTATTACACCCCCTTCTTCTCCTCCTCCTCTTTATCTGTCACATCCTTCTTCTCCCCCTCCTTTTCAGGATGGATCACGTGCTGGTCGGGAGAAGAAGAAGACGGTGTCCTTCAGCAGCAGTCTGTCAGAGAAAAAGATCAGCAGTGCTTCTGATTGCATCCACTCGATGGTGGGTCAGCTACCGTGAGAGCCTTTACATAAAATATAAGCTTTACATAGCTGTACATGAAATCTATCTAAGGTAGTATCCATGCATCAAGGGTTTCGGGTAGATCAAAGTCTTACTTTCCAACATGGCTGAAGTCGACTGAGCTCTACTCTGAAAGTTAGTGAGTGATTAACCATATCTGGTTTCCAGGTTGAGGGGAGCGAGCTGAAGAAAATCCGACCCAACTCCCGTGTTTATCAGCGGTACTATCTCCTTGATGCCGGCCTCCAGGCTCTATGCTGGGAGCCATCCAAGAAGGAGTCAGACAAAGCTCGGATCTCTCTCTCCTCTATACGTGAGGTCGGTGTCCAAGAAAAGGGAAAGACTTTTCTAAATCAGCCCACCATGGATTTGTTTCACGAATGCCTTCTTAAGCCTTTTAAAATGAATTAGCTGTACAAGTTTGTAACCGTTTCCATACGGTGGATAACAGTTCATTTGATTTTATTAAACCTCGCATAATTTCTTCTTCTCTTTTTTCCTCATCTTCGGGTGTCTCAAACTCCAGGTACGGACAGGTCGTAACACGGAGACCTTCCGCACCAGTGGAGTTTATGACCAGATTTCAGAGGACTGTGCATTCTCCATCATCTATGGAGACATTTATGAAAGCTTGGACCTGGTTGCCAACTCTGCAGAGGTGGCTAACATTTGGGTTATTGGCCTGAGGTAAGACACAGAAAGAAGAAAGAGCAGTTTTACATTGTACACTCATTCTTTAGCTTTTAATCCTTGTGTGTTTTCCACCTCTTAAGCAGCATATGACAGCACAAATATGTGAATAAATAAAAAACCAGCTGTGTGTGAAATTTACATAAAGCATCCTAAGCCTATTGTTTTGTAGTTACTCAGTTTAGTCTGAAGGACTAGTTCAAACATAAATTTAAATGTTTTTCTTCTTATTCTTTGTTCATATTAAAGATGCCTACACTCAATATGCATGTGTAAGTATTCCCTATGAGCCAACATCTTCAGACTATCAACACAGTTTGTTTCCAGCAGTGTTTTCCTGGTGAGGGAGAAGCGAGCTTGTTTCAGACATTGAATGAACTAACAAGGTTTAACAAGCTAAAAATGGCTTATTTTGGATTTTAAATCATGCAAAGCTAGTCTATTATAGGTCAAAAGCTATGTGCCCTGTAATTCACACTCATTGTAAGCCAAACGTTTGGTAATAGACAGCTCATCCCTGTAATATTGGCCATCTCTGCAAACAATGTGCATGTTGACGGCCACCATGTTCCATCCATGCTTTAGTCGGGCTGCTTTTATTAATAAAGCCCAACAGTCCTCTGGTGGTCTGACTGACGTTACGGTGAACAAGAACTGACGAAGGATTTAATGTGTGATTGAACTGAGATTTTTGTCTTGCAGGGAAGGTTAAGCAGACATAAAGTGTGTTTTTCTTTCATGTCAGTTCACTTTCATATCTTGTCACTTTTCTTTTATCTTGTTCTTTTTTGGTATTGATTGTACTGAGATGAACGGTGGGATTTTGCTCGGTTGCCTTTATTATGTAGTCCTTTTAAGTTTTCTTTTTATAAAAGCTTGTGCCGTCAAACATGGGCGGATTTTAAATTGATTTTACTGCTGCAGTAGTTGTACTGTATTTTATATACGGGCAGGGATAGCTTAGTAGGTAGAGTGGTGATCGGAAGGTCGGGGGTTCGACTCCACTGAACGGCTACCCTGAGGTACCCCTGAGCAAGGTGCCGTCCCTACACACTGCTCCCCGGGCGTTTCACTGGTGACTGCCCACTGCTTCACTGGGTGAATGGGTTAAATGCAGAGGAACTATTTCCCTATGGGGACTAACACGCACACTTTACACTTTACTTTACACACTTTACACTTTACATATTTCAAGCACTGTGCGAGATGTCTGAAATATAAATTAAAATGGAAATGTTTGTGCTGTAGATTTGATCATTTATACCAAAAATATTGTGTCCTACAATAGCTGAGTCTTTTTTGTCTTTTTTTAAGTGCTTCTACATTTTTCTGTCTTTAGGTATCTGATGCAGTATGGGAAACATACCCTCGACATGCTTGCTAGCAGTCAGAACAGTCTTCGTCTTGGCTGGCTGGAGCAGTTGTTCTCCTCTGCTGCTAACCAGGACACACGGGGAGACGCGACAGAAGGGATTCATTTGGAATTGGCTATAAAGCTAATACAAGGCGTGAACCCCGGGGTGAACAGTGGCAAAGTGGAGCACAGGTTTAAGGAGCTTCAAAGACTCAGAGAGAGGATGTGCGAGCTTACGATAGATAACGGATCTGGACTTGAAGACTACAGCGAAAACAAAAAGCTAACGGCAAGAAATGAGCGGGTCACCAAGCAGGAGTTCGTTGAGGTCTTCCACGACTTTTGCACACGTCCTGAGATCTATTTTCTCCTGGTGCAGTTCTCCAGTAACAAAGAGTTCCTGGACACCAAAGACCTGATGAGGTTCATTGAGGCTGAGCAGGGCATGGCTCAAGTGGGTAACTTAGCTTAATCACACAGAAAATTCAGGACAAATATAATCCTAGTCTATCTAATGTCTGTTTACTCTTCTTGCCCTCTAGGTGAGTGAGGAAACCAGCCTGAAACTCATCCAGGCTCATGAGCCATCGGAGAAGGGGCGGGAGCAGGGATACCTGTCATTGGACGGCTTCACCAGCTACCTCACTTCGGCGGAGTGCCACCTCTTTGACCAAGAGCATAGCATCATATGCCAGGACATGACTCAGCCTTTGTCTCACTATTATATCAACTCGTCCCACAACACCTACCTCATCGAAGACCAGTTTCGAGGCCCCTCGGATATCTCCGGCTACATTCGTGCCCTCAAAATGGGCTGCCGGTGCGTGGAGTTAGATGTTTGGGATGGTGCAGATGAGGAGCCGCTAGTGTGTACTGGCCACAGCCTCTCCCCGCCGCTGTTGCTGCACTGTGTGTTAGAAGCAATCAGAAGGTTTGCCTTCGCAGCATCGGAGTACCCGTTAATTCTGTGTGTTGAAAACCACTGTTCGCTTCGACAGCAGAAAGTGATGTGGCAGCATCTCATGAGGATTTTAGGGGAGAAGCTGTACACAGATCCTCCAGATGAAGAGGCTTCATACCTTCCATCCCCACATGCCCTAAGACATCGAATACTATTAAAGGGTAAAAAGCTAGTGCCGAGTTCTGATGGGGAAGATGGCGAGGTAAGTGAGGAGGATGAAGGAGCAGAGATGTGCCAGAAGATAAAGGCAGTTAATAGTGGAGGGGCAGCGCCTGGAGGAAGTGAGAAGGACACTGTGCAGAAAATCGTTGTCACGTCTAGTCCTTCGAGCGTTCCCCCCAAACGTTTCCAACTGTTGAAGGAGCTCTCGGACTTAGTAAATCTTTGCCAGTCTGTCACCTTTATTGACTTTCCAACCTCGTCCAAAAGCCAAAAACCTTGGGAGGTGTGCTCTTTTCACGAGTCTTTAGCAGTGCGTCTTGCTAGCGAGAACCCCAGGGACTTTGTCAACCACAACAAGCACTTCTTGTCACGGGTGTACCCCAACCCTATGCGTATTGACTCGAGCAACATGAACCCCCAGGACCTGTGGAAGTGCGGTTGCCAGATGGTGTCAATGAATTTTCAGACAGCAGGACTGATGATGGACCTAAACACAGCCTGGTTCCGGCAGAATGGGAACTGCGGTTACGTTCTGCGTCCGGCCATCATGCGGCAGGAGGTGTCTTACTTCAGCGCTGACACCAGAGACACGGTGCCTGGTGTGTCTCCGCAGCTGCTCCACGTGAAGGTGTGCAGGAATAGTGTGTAGACTGCAGTTTAAGTTTTCTAAAAATTCTCTTATAATGTTTGACATTGCAGTAATAATTATTATTATTAGAACTTTGTCCTTTGAAGTTTTGCCCTCATTCCGTTGGGTAACAATAGAACCCCATAACATGACAGAATGGCATACATTGCATTAAAAAAGCCATCAGTCTAGCAAAGCTTATTTAAACATCTGAACCTTTGGATTAAGTTGGACAGTGCATGCTTCTACTTTTACTTCCAAGCAAAGTCATATAATCTAGCTTAACTAGTTTATTATAAACAAGAAGTTTATAATGACTGAAACAGTTAATGAAATGATCTACCTTTCGCTTGCAGGTCATTAGCGGCCAGAATCTGCCAAAGCCCAAAGGTTCTGGGGCTAAAGGGGACGTGGTGGACCCATATGTATATGTGGAGATCCATGGCATCCCAGCCGACTGCACAGAGCGCCGCACTAGGACTGTGAGCCAGAATGGAGACAACCCAATCTTCGATGAGAGCTTTGAGTTCCAGATCAACCTGCCTGAGCTTGCTATGGTTCGCTTTGTGGTGCTGGATGATGACTTTATTGGGGATGAATTCATAGGTCAGTACGCACAAGTTTTATACTTATTTATGAGCCCCACAGCTCCTGTGTAGCAACCATGAAATCAATGCGTATGTGATTTCTCCACCACAACAGGTCAGTATACCATACCTCTGGAGTGCCTCCAGCCTGGTTACCGACATGTACCCCTGCAGTCTCTGACAGGAGAGGAACTCCCACACGCCAAGCTGTTCGTGCACGTGGCCCTTACCAATCGCAGAGGTGGAGGAAAACCTCACAAAAGGGGTCTGTCAGTACGCAAGGCCCGAAAGGGGAGGGACTATACAGCTCTGAGGGACTTGGGAATTCGAGCAGTGGATGAAGTTTTCAAAATGGCTGCTCCTCTGCTGAGAGAAGCCACCGATCTGAGGGGAAACATGCAGGTGAGGAAAACTATTACTGGACACAGCCAGCACAATGTCACCATTTAGTTTGGGATCAGCTTTAGTGTTTTTTGGGCCATTTTCATGATATTTGGTCTTTCAACATAGAACCGAAAACACAGGAATCAGAATCTTAATAAAATGTCATCCCCTTCCTCCTCATTCCTCACTCCTTCCTCCTCCTAGTCAGGCCTCTAGCACATGAAAACGTACCTAAACATGCTAATTGATTCCCGATATTGTCACGATTACTTACTGTCAGCAGATTAGACATGCTGCCCTGTCCTCTCTGGATTAGCTAAACAACAGCTGGTTATACTCTAACATTATGCCAGCTAATGTTAGGCTGTCTCTAATAAACAGTTTGAGTACATATGAGTCAATCATATGAGTGTTTATTCGCTAAGTGTCCAAGTCCATCAATGTTAGAGCCATTGCAGCTTGCAGAGGCAGCAGCTATCGGAGTCTAAGGGTTTGATATCCTCAACAACTCACCTGAATATCGCTGTTATTGTTATTGCAAACTGACAGCCTACACTCACTACGAGTGAACGGTGTCCAGAGTTATTTGTCCTAAAGCAGCCACCATAGCTAGGATTAAGCACATGAATTGAGAGGGGTAAGAAAACAGAAATCAGTTGACATCTAGTGGTAAGATCTTACGCACTGTTGCTGTTGAGAAATGCATCTCCCAGCTGTGGTGGAGGAAACTAACTATACAAAGTAAAGTTGGCTTTTTTTTTTTTTTCTGCCGATTTGTAAACTTGTTTATTTTACCTGCAGATTTCTGCATTTTAACCATGGGAATTCCTTAGGACTAAATTGATGTATTTTTCATGAGGAAATTAAATTACAGTTAAAGATTAATAGATATAAGTTGATCCATATTTCACTTCAGTCCCATTTTTATTCTATTTATTTATTTTTCATAGTGCCAAGTAACAACGATAACAGTCGCCTTAAGGCGCTTTATACTGTAAGGTAAAAACCCCAGAGAAAATCCCAACAAACAAGCCGCTATGAGCAAGCACTTGGTGATAGCAGGAAGGAAAAACTCCCTGTTGACTGAAAGAAACCCTTGGAAGAACCAGGCTCAGAGAGAGGCAGTTGCCATGATCGGTTGGGGGTGAATGAACGAAGATGGGATAAAAGACACGCTGTGGAAGAGAGTCCGAGAATAATAACTAATAATTAAATGCAAAACAGAGAGTACAAAGCAGTGAGTGAAGAAGACACTGTATATTGATATAAATATATCAACTGACATTGCACTAAAGAAGCTTACATAGGTGATAAACAGAGCTGAAGACTGACGATGCAGAGGGACAAGTGACGAGGTCACCGAAAGAGTTGAATTAATTTTATTATAAGTTGAGTGTTGGATTAATAAACTATCAGCCTCTGTAAACTATTAATAGAGGTTAACCTTAAACCTTGAAACTACGTGGCAGAGTCCCAACATGGTTGAGCTGAAGCAGGTTGGAGACTTGGATGAGGATCTCTGAGTGAACAGGGTGAGGTCGAGATAAATGAAAGAAGAGCACTCAGGTTTATATCAGCAGGGACAGAGGCTGATTAGCTCCCAGAAAGCAGGCAAGGAAATTATTAACCCAAATGCCCGGGAATGTGTTGAACTTGCACAGAAGCTTCATTGTCTTTCATTAATGGTCGAATTAACCTTTATGAACCAAGCGGCAGTTTTGTCTGTGGGTCCTTTTGTTACCCTATGCCAAACAGTAATTACATGTTCTGTGAATGTGTATGAGACTGTTGGCCATCCACATCTCTTGATTGCTTCCATTTCACTCTGAACTACTGCCACAGCACAGCAGCAGGAGCGCAATCAAATACAAACAGCTCTGTTGCAGGATTTGGGGTGTAGGGTGTGCATGTGTGTGACAGAGAATGAAACGAAATCAAGTCGCAGACTTGTGTCGCAGAGTATAGGAGAGATTTCACTAGTTTTCTTGTCTTTTTTTTTTTCCACGCAATTCAGTGCCTCTGTTTTTTGTTTTTTTTTCATCCAATTAGGACAGTGAATAGGAGAAGATCGTGTATTCTTATTTAGCTACTGATTAAACATGTCCTTCCTGCTTTTTTTCTTTCTTTCTTTTAAACAGAACTCAGTAGCAGTGTTCAGGGAGCTGTGTGGGGTGTCGGCTGTGGCTAACCTCATGCAGTGCATACTGGCTCTGAGCTCTAGAGTTTCAGAACCAGAGGGGATGCCTTTACTACTGTTTGACCTGCGGGACCAGTACCCCACCCTGGAGCCCCAGGGGTCTTTGCCTGATGTCCTCCGCCGGGTTGTCTCTACTTATGAGATGGTGAGAAAGGAAGAGACCTGACAGTTAATATTCTGTATGTTTTCGCACCAGATAAAGGGCTCTATGTGACTCATAAATCTGAAATTCATCAAAAGGAAGGAAAGACCAAACAAAGGCAACGTATCAGTCATCCCCCAACCGCTTGGCTTGACAATGAAAGCTCCCCTCCCAAACAAAAGCTTCCTTTTTAGCCAATAGTTTCTGAAACCCGACATGAGCTTTTCATTGTTATGTAGCGGGCAACATCCCCATTTGTTCAAGTCTCATAAACACGCTGGCGACATCCTCACCTTGACCTAAATCTACTTTGTGTTTCCATCTAAAACGAACTGCAGAGTTTCATTCACCAAGTGGTTTAACTGACTGAATTTATGTAACGGCGTCTAAAAATAAATCCAGTCACTGAAGAAGAACTTCCCCCGTGGAAACTAACACAATGAGAGGAGGAAAAAAAAACAAAAAACCAAGCAGGGTCAATTGGTCTGCAAGTTAACTCTTCATTCAGTCAATGAGGCAGGGTGAGTTGGTGTGTTCGAGTGGGTTTTCCTGTGTCGTAACTGAAAGGATGAGTCTTTCTTTCCATCCTCGCTTTTATATAACACTTTCAATAATTTTCCCTTTGGTTTTTGCCGCCATCTTTCAATGTCCTCCATATTTCCTCTATCACTGATTAATCTCTTGCAGTTACTGCGTTCTCTTGGTCCCTCTGGTGTCTCTTTGTGAATGTGGCTGTCCAGCATAAGTGGGTTTTGTACATCTGTGGGCTAGCATTCAGTGGACTGCTTTGCCTGTGTTGCAGTGTTAAAGTGTTGCTGTGGTGAAGAACGCTACGCCTCTGTTTTTTTTTTTTCTTTCTTTTTCCTTCCACCATCTGCCTGCCTGCAACATTATTTCTTGAAATTGATATTTGCTCAAAGTGCACTTGTTCCCGTTTCATATTAGATGTATCCCGGGAATCTCTCGGGCAGGATGATGGACAGTCGGTATGAATTGCAAAGTTAGCAGCGCTATCGGGAGAGTATATGAAATGAGGCTGCGCAAGTGTGAATGAGAAAAAGAGACTTGCTGTCATGGAGAAAAATGAAAGGGTTTCTTCTTATTGAGTCATGATTAATGTTTAGCAGAATGATTTGTAACCCCTTAATTTAACTACAGCTTGTCAATGCTATGCATCTAGCCTCTGCACAGACACAGGCTGTCTATTTGTGAATTAAGATGTAAGCGTGCGTGCGTGTGCGTGCGTGTGCGTGCGATTAGCCACACTTGTTTCCAGCCGAGCAGATCAGAGTTGAAAAAGCTCCCGCTGTTGCTGAATACTATTTGCATAGATTTGAATGTTGTTCACATAAATGGATTCCACACCTCAATTCTGGTGCCTGCCGAGAGCGGTAAACAACAGAGACATCAAAGTTTGAATGAATGAATCTGTGTGTGTGTGTCTCTGTCTGTTTGTATTGCTGAACGAGATCTGGTCACAGTAATGTTGTGTGGTTAATCCCGTATTTGTTGAATAGCATTTTTTTCCCCCCCCCCGCACATCGTGAGGGTCAGATCCTGTAAGGGTTTGTGAGAGTTGATCAGGAAGAAGCGACTTGTTTTATCTGTCTTTGTGTTTGTGTGGTCATGTTCAAAGAGCTGCCATATTAGTCTGGGGATGACTTTATTTGCATGCACCTGTCAATTTCCAGTCATCCATTAAATGTGGGAACAACACGTTATTATTGTTGTTGTTATTGTTATTACTACATTCTTTAAGTTGAAGTGCACAGTGTGGTATGTACAGACGGTACTGTGGCGAAGTTTTGAGTCAGCCCTCATTTCTTTAAATTTTGCTGGGAAAATGAGAAATATATAATCATGATATCTGGCCATGATTATAATGTGCTTGAAAGTCAAAATGTATTATGTCCAACTTTATTCTTCAACACAGTCTGACCTCTCTTAGGTAAGTTTTCCTGTCATTACTTTAAGTAATCTTCAGGAATAGTTCTCCAGGTTTCTTGACACATTCAAAGCTCTTATATGGATGTTGGCTGCCTTCTTGTTTTGTTCTCTGTCAAGATGATCCCACACTGATTCAATAATGTTGAGGTCTGGGGAGGCTAATCCTTGACCGATAGCCTTCCATTATGTGTTTTGTTTGTTTGTTTGTTTGTTTTTTGTTTTTTTTTAAATCCAGGTATGCTTTTGCTGTATTGGCAGTGTGTTTGGGATGATTGGCAACGGTTTCCTTTTTCAGAATGACAATCAACTCTTTCCAGACTGTATTGCATGGTGGAGCAATACTTTTGTGTTTATAACTCCATCAGTTTTGACAAGATGTCTAACACCACTTATTGAAATGCAGACCCAAACCATGACTGAGCCTCCGCTGTGTTTTGGCATACCTCAGCCTTTTCTCCCTGTTTCCCTTCTGTAAAAATGGCTTCTTGACAGCCATCCTATCAGAGAACAGCAGATGGGCTGGATTTTTTTTTTTTTTCATATTTCTTTAAGCCAGTTCATTGTTTGCCCTCAATTTCTCAAAGTCTCTTAACAGTTTTTAAGGACACACTGCAGAGCATGCTCAGAGAAAAGTTTTTGGCTAATCACTTTTTGGGAATCATCTTGTTGTTGCAAAGATACAAGGTTCATCCCTTGAGTTAGATGCTTAATGCAATAATTCTTGGTCAGTAGATTAAGTAAATGAATTAACAAACGAGCAAACATTCCTCTGAAAATGGATGAAAAAGCATCTAAAATCCAAGAAAATCCGGAGAACTATTATTCAAGAGGACTTGAAAGTCCTTAAAGATCTTAAAGGACTTAAAGATCTGAGTGGTGGCTCAACACTTTTGCACAGTGCTGTGCACTATATTCCTCTTCATCAGATTAGATACATTTCTTCAAAGTTAAACTCTGTGATTTCTTCTCCTTCATGCTCTTTAATGTGAATCATGTTGATGCTTCCCTGTCTGCAGATGGTCCAGGCGAGCAGAGCAGTGATGGAGCTCTCAGATGGAATCCACGACAAGATCCTGCATATACAGACAACAGGTGTGTAGGCGTGTGTGCGTTTAAATGAGATTCTCCTATCTAGAGTGCGTGTAATGAGTATAAACCAATCTATCTCCATATTTCTAGCATACTCCCACACAGCCTCTTTAGCAGTGCTATATAGATGGCTGCAGTGGCTGATTACCGTCAGCTCCCTTCCTTTCCTCTCCCACTATATTTTATCTGTCTTATCACCGCTGTTAGACAAGGTTAGATGAGGCTTTATACTGGCTCAGTTTGTGTGTATATTTTGGCTGGAGGAGATTTTAAATTGGTGCAACTCCCATCATCCATCACCCATCTGTCTGTTAAGTGAAGGGCATGAAATCTGACCTGCCGATATCATTTCTGTGATCTTTGGCAGAGGTTTGTTTACTTCAGCAGTATCCCTCTGGTCATCTGACTTTAGTTAGCCAGACTGTTGTCATAGAGGCCATAAACAACCCCCTCAAACACATTGCTGCACACAACACATTACGCACATCACGTTCATCACCCTGTTTTAGTGTCTGGCTGTCACCCAGGAAACAGCTTGACTGACATTTAGACATGTTAACCGGTTTGGTGCAAAGGGGGGGGAAAAAAGTGATAAACATTCACAGTATATATGTATGAATCTGAAGGCGGTGAATTTCACAAGCTGCGCTTACAAATGTCTCACTTTTGTTTTCCCTTCTAAAGAACTCTTAGTACACATTAAATATTAAAGCGTCCATAAGCTTTGTAAGAATGTTGCAGTTTGAAATGATGCAAAAAATTGTTGGCTTTTCCAATGCCACAATGCCACCCTTGAGCAAAATATGAATAGAAAAAAAAACACACACAAGGGAGGACTCCAGTTAAACTCCAAGTCAAATGATATTCGGAGAGAAAGATGATGGTTCAGCTGGGGCCACTCCAGTGGAGAGACAAAGTATTTGACTGAGATGAATGTTGTTTACAACTTTGCAGACTCCTCCACTCTGCTCCCAGACAACTCATCACATCCTCCATTGGACTTTATTTTCCTGTTTTCGGGGCCGCTGCTCGACTCTGCGATCAAACTGCATTTGACATATTCATCTGTTTTTTCGCAGTTACGAGTACAGCGATGGCCACTCTGTGCCGAGAGATCCCTAAAGTGTGTGTTTTCTGCACTCATCTGATAAAGAGCTGCTGCAGAGCCTTAGGCCTGATCTTGTGAGCAAAGCTCTTCCTGTGTACAAAGGAAATCTGGTGATCAAGTGATCCCAAAGGCGGAGGTCCACCTCTAAGCCTGGGAAGAGGGAGTTGGCAGCGAGAAGGCATAAACCAGTCACTTGGGGGGGCACGGGATGATTGGTGACAGAGATACTTGGCTGGAAGTTGCATCAGCCGTTACAAAAGCCGTGGGAAGATGAATGGGAGAGATGGATGGCTAGAAGGAATGCTGGGAGGGAGACAAGAACACCAAGGGAGAAGAAAGGAAATCCACTCCAGTTTAAGGGTGTGCTGGGGAGGGGAATTCTCAGCTGTCACTAGTGGTATACATGTATATTAGATGCTTTGTAACTTACATTTTGTTAAGTGTGAAACTATTATAACACCAGCCTCAAAAGCTGTTGCTTTGCTGCTGTTCCTGCTCACGAGCTACACTAGTTTCACTTCTGTCACACCCTGAAGTGCACAGGCAGCGAGGTGAGAAGTTAAACCTCAAAGAAAAAGCGAAAGCAAGATTCTTGTGGGTGTTAATTTTCACATCTGTCAGAGATGATGCTCCATCACTGATTCAAATGCACTGTCAATTTATGCTGCTGTGAACACCTCACATATAATTCTAGTCTCTCTCGGATGTGTGTAAATGGTAAATGGCCTGTATTTGTATAGCGCTTTACTAGTCCCTAAGGACCCCAAAGCGCTTTACACATTCAGTCATCCACCCATTCACACACACATTCACACACTGGTGATGGCAAGCTACATTGTAGCCACAGCTGCCCTGGGCGCAGTGACAGAGGCGAGGCTGCTGGACACCAGTAGGCAACCGGTGAAGTGTCTTACCCAAGGACACAACCACCGAGACTGTCCAAGCCGGGGCTCGAACCGGCAACCTTCCAATTACGAGACGAACTGCAAACTCTTGAGCCACGATCGCCCCAAATCCAGCAGTAAAATGAATCTGCAAGGCTTGCCTGCTCAAATGAATGGGATTAAAAACTAAATGAAAAATCTAAACAAAGGACAGAAAAAGGTTGACTCTAAGCAGATGCTTGTGTAAAGCCCAGACATGGATCGTTTTTATCTTTTTGTTTTCCATCCCATCTCAGTAATCATCAATCGTCAATAAAACTTCTGCTTGTGAGAAATAACCTTCCTCTCATCTCATCCTGATCCCAGTTTAAGATTTTAAAAGGCACTTTTTTTTTCTCCTTTCCCTGCATTGATGTTTCTTTGTGTGAAATAATAAGTTCTCAAGACAACAGCATAATCCAGAAGAAAGTTTGATTGGCTCATAGGGAAGCCTGCACACAGTAGTCCTAGCTTTGCGCGTCTTATCACCTGCTCTTCTTGTGTTTCTCCTTTCCGTCTTCAAACTGGACAGGATCATTCGTCCTGGACTTATTCTCTCACTCCTTATTTCTTCTGAGAGGGTGGCGACAGGAGAAACGGGTCAGGAAAAAAAGACTATTGGAGAACAGCAACATTTTTCCTTCTTTGAGGGCCTCTTTAAATTGGTTGTTAGGTAGTAAAATTATCTTAATTGCGGGAGCATAACATTTGGAGGAGTACAGTTTGTTCCTCCAGTATGGAGAGGTCGGTCACAGATGAAAAACGCCATCAAGGGATATAGAGTCATACCCACTTTTTTTTCTAATTTTGGGAGAACTTGTCCGTCATTAACCCCAGATGATCAGCTGCTTTTCCCTCAGGGCGCTGGCCTCTGTGTGGCATCTGGAAGTATAGATTTTACACTTCATCAGATGCTCACAGCCCGGTCGTTTCTTGACGAGATCTCTGCTGGAAGTCGGATCATTTCCATCTCAGTTGCTTCACGGTTCAGGCTGAGGACATAAAGTGACGATGACAAATACCTGTCACATGCTGATTGGCTGGCCCTGAAGGCTATTTTATCTCTGGGTCAAGACCCTGTATCTGGGAGTGTTGTTTGCCTGTGTATGCACACACTGAACAATATTGGCTTGAAAAATACCCCCCTCCCCAGCCTCGACTTCGCTTGATTTCACAGGGAAATAGACACACAGTCGCACACGCACACTACAGTGGCACGTAGGCTTTGAGTTGCCTAGCAACCACGCAGTAAAGGTTATTATTCAGGCAACTTATGTAGGTGTGTGTGAATGTAGAGCAGTGACAGCGTATGTGTGTGCAGGTGCGTGTCCATGTTTGCAGACGTTTATTGACCGGGAAGAATCATGTGTCAGGGATGGGTGAAATAGACTAGCACCCAATCTGTTCACTCTTCTGCGTGTGTGTGTGGTCCACATTTTGGCATGTCTAACGTCTGGGTTCTTGTTGATAGCTCACACTGATGTGTGCCCCATGTTAACCCACTTCCGGGTTTCCATGGTAACAGTGGGACAGTGGCCCGGAGCGGCCAGAGGAAGCCAGGAACACAACTCATTGCACACAGGCTAACTAGCTGCCGGCCTGACTTCTGTGACGCTGTCTTAATTTCTCTGCGTCTTTCTCTCTCAAGTCTCTCAGACGCCTGGCAGTTTCATTTTGTAATCGGCTATTGTGTATGATGTGACTTAATTTCCCCCAAAAGTTTGAAGATTACACAGGTACACATCCTCCACCTGTGTCTTCTAGAATTTGGTTTGTTAAAAAAGTACAAAAAAACGTCATCAACTCCAGGCTTAAGAAGCCTGGAAGAAGACTCCAGGCTTGAGAATAATGAAAAATGGCCATCAGTATTTACTGACTGAACAGAGACAGAGTTGGTCAAATAGACCTCCTTAATGCGATCCAAAGGTGAGCGTAGAATCTTCTGGGGCTTAAGCTTATGCAGATGTAATATTGAAACTCACTGATTGACCCAGAGCACAAAGATCATTGGGCAGATATGAACATTGAATGTGGGGACAGCCGAGCAGAGGTGATGTGAGAAGCTAAATATGCAGTACAAGTTAAAATGTAGCTGCAAGTGTCAGAGAGGGGGAAAAAAAACCATCAGAGAAAGGCAGGGTGCACTCAAGCAAGCTTGATGTTTAGACTCATACTTTTACAGTTCTGAATTTGCAGCACACAAAGCAACTGACTGCAGCAGTCACTTTGGAAAGATAAAACCCGGCCAGCAACGTGTGCGAGCTGTGGACCAAAGATTATCTTAACCAAAATTCAGCTACATTCATATAGCACCAAATCACAGCAGCAGTCGCCTCAAGGCGCTTTTATATTGTGAGGTAAAAACCCTCCAGTAATACAGGGAAAACCCCAACAGCCAGACAACCCATTGTGACCAAGCACTTGGTGAAAATAGGAAGAAAAAACTCCCTTTTAACAGGAAGAAACCTCCAGCAGGGCCAGGCTCAGGGAGGGGCAACTATCTGCCATGATCAATATTGTCCCAGCTGGGATAGACTCCAGCCCCTCAATAACCCCCAAATGAATAATAATGAAGGTTTAAAGAAACTGAACGGATGGATGTTTGAAAGGATAGAGCTGGCATCTAATATAAAAGGTCACTACGACATTCAATCGTAGTAATCGTGTAATTCCAGTTTTTTCCTCTTAGTCAGATTGTGAAGCAGGTAAGCTTTAGTACTCGAGACATGCCCAGCACATCCCTAGCATGATTATCTCAGTGTTCCTGGTAGATTTTGCTCCACTCTTTCGCTGTATGACTTAACAAAAAGTGGTGTGATGGGGCATTATTTTATTTTATTTTATTTTTTTGGGGGGGGCAAATGATGTGGGGGAAAAAAGAGCTTGTCTCTGTTTGTAAGCTAAATTATGTATGACATCCTTAGAAAGTCAGAGTAAGGTCAGATGAAATGTTCTCATATTGGACACAGCTCTGTGTGGAAGTAGGAGACCTGAAGGCTACTGCGTCAGTGATAATTATGTTGTTTACTTGGAGGAAAAAAAACAATTTTATTTAACATGATTCATTTTTGTTTTTATTTTCATAATGAGAGTATAGATTGAGGCACGGAAGTAATTTGAAATAAATGCTAACATGCTCACAACAGTGGCACTGTGCAGATGTTTAGCAGGTGTTGTCATGTTAGTATGGCCTGTTAGCCATGTTGATTGCCTTGGAGAAAAGTGCACCATGTTCCTGTAAAGGATGATATACTTCTTTTTAAAAAAAATTTTTTTTAAATTAAATTTAAATGTACGAGATTGGACTTAAATGGAAGTCTGATCTGCTGTGGTTCTTTGCTTTTTCGTTCTAGCCATGGAGTTTCACGAAAAACTGCAAAGCCTGGGTACGAAAGAGGGGCTGAAAGGTTCCAAGGTCAGCAGAGCAGTTGAGCGTTTCAGCTGGAACATCACCATCCTTAAGGTCAGTTATACACTCATGCACGCTGAAAAAGCCCAACAGCCAATCGGGGCAGAGTATCAGAACATGTTTCAGCCTCTGGCTGGTTGCTCATACTTTGTTCTTTCAACCTCCCTGCCCTCACCCTTGTTCTTTGTAACCCCTGCCTCCTGATTTTTGTGTTCCCCATCTTTCCTGACACCCAGGGCCAGGCTGACCTGCTGAAACACGCCAAGGCTGAAGTCCTGGAGAACATGAAGCAGGTCCGTGATGCTGCTCTGGCTGGAAACCTCACCAAGGAGAGAGCCGGATTAAGACGGGCAAGCTCCCAAACACGCAGAGGCCACAATGAAAAACTTGCAATGAGTACTAGAGGACAGTCGGCATAGCAAGTAGAAAAAAAAAAAAGAGGGCACCTAGCTGCTGTGAAAAACTCTTTTCACTTCTGTGTGTGTCTGTGTGAGTGAGAGGGAGAGAGAGACACTGTCTTAGTCTCCCAGAGTGGGCAAGCTATCAAAGTGTTTTGTAGGCATTACAGAGAGTAACAGATATTAAGAAAGAGAAACAGGAGAACTGATGAATGCAAGTCTTCAAAACGCAGCCACTGTAAGCTCACCTGTTACTGAACCTTCGAGCCAGAGAAGGCGGCGCACAGCCAAGGGAAGACTAATGAAATGCGAAGCTGCCGAGATGAATGTAGTTACTGAAGCCAAGGTTGAGCGGTTTGTACTGTATTAAACTGTAAATAAGCCAAATGTTTAATGTTCACTTGTTATGTGCAATGTTTTCTGAGGTCAGGGGATGATTGAAACCAGAAGACAAAACCTTTTTGAAAAAAAATGGTGACTTTTACTCCACAGTGATTAAATTCAGATTGGTGTGTAAGACAGCTTGCGTGTGAGTTAAAAGAAACAGTTTGTCAAAGGATGTGTGGATGTTTGAGGTCTTCTGTCGTTACTTGTGGACCAACGCAGTCTCTTTTTGTCTCTCTAGATTTTGATTACCTGTCTTTTGGTCCCCAGTCGCTGCTCTTCACTCAACTTCGATTCAATTAACTTGAGGTCCTTTGTCTTACTAAAAATCCACCACTTTGCCATCTTACTACGGTCTTACATACAGTATTCTATATTTTTGTATTTACATTAGAAAAAAAAAGAAAAGAAAAAAAAAAGGCTTGTGCTAATGAACCCGGTGTTACCTACCAAAACGATCAATTCCAGAAGTGTAAATATGTGGTTAGAGGGAACTAATACTGTTATGTTTGTGTTTTAAAACGCTGTACAGTATTTTATTAAGTAATTCTATCCTTTTACTGCAAAGAATATTTTACATAAGTTATTGATCCTGAATGAAAACATTCCAGATACATATTATTGGTGTAGATAAATGAGGCTCGAGCAGTTCTGTAAAAGGTCAGTTCACGATTACCTTCCTCAGCAGCCAGGATGAAAATAAACTAGTTTTTAAATGACTTGTGCGCATGCCTCTGTTTTTCTGCAAGACTTGATGGAGCTTTCAGCTATAGTGACGCATGACACAAGCAAGAGGAGCGCTGCGATGACAGCTGGGGAAGCAGACCTGTGATGCTGCTGCGATGAGCAGTGGAAAAAAAACTAATTACAGCTTCCATATAAAGCTTCGGTGCATCGCGGTTGAAAGGTCACAATTAATGACTATTTCCAACCATTAAAACATGCACCAATGACCACTTTATTAGGTACACCTTGCAAGCATACTGGCTGAGATTTTGCTTCATTGATATCAGTTTCTGCAGATTTATAAGCTGAACATTCATTATGTGACTCTCCCATTACAATATATCCCAAAGGTGCTCTATTGGATTGAGAGCTGCTGACTGGAGGCCATTTGAGTACATTGAACTCTTTGTCATGCTCAAGAAACTAGTTTGATTAGTTTTGTGACATGGCATGTAATCCTTCTGGAAGCATGCCCACACTGTAGTCATAAAGGGATAGCTGTGTCAGCAACAATAGTCAGGTAATAGTCTGGGGTTTAAATGATGCTGAACTGGTACTAAAGGGCTCAAACTGTGCCAAGATCAGCCTCACCATTACATCATCACTAGCCTGAACCATTGATAATAAGAAGGATGAACCAATGCTTTCATGTCACTTATGGCAAATTCTCTCTCTACCATCTTGCAGTAGGAATCATGGCATCAGACCAGGCAATATTTTTCCAATTTTCTACTCTGACTGGAGAACAGAAGTAGCTTCTCTTTCCTTCAATGTGTCTTGCATTTAAAAATTGCCGTGGTTGTAATAAATAGTCATTTGAGTTGTTGTTGATTTCGAAGCAGTCTGACTATTCTCCTCTGACGGCTGGTATCAACAATTTTTTGCCCAAACTGCTGTTAATTGGATATTTCCCCCTTTTTCAGTGTAGAGATGGCTGTGCAGGAAAAATCCCAGCAGCTCAGCAGTTTTTGGAAACACTCAGATCAGCTCATCTGACACAACTGTTCAAACTCAAATCACCTTTCTTGTCCACTCAGAGGCTTGGTTTGAACTCCAGCAGGTCATTTTGACCAACTTTATGAGCCTAAACACATTGAGTTGTTGCTATGTGACTGGCTGATTACATATTTGCATTAACAAGCAGTTGTAAATGTGAACATAGTAAGTGTTTGTACATATAAATGCACATTTTATTTGCATGAGATCCAAGTTTTTACTGTCCTGGACATAATCATCTCTCAGTTTCACTGAAATACAGCAGCAGCATGGGTAAGCCTATAAGTATGGATGGCTTTGCAGTTAAATACGTTATAAACATCCAAAACATCTGTAGCAGCTCCTCGCAACAATGAATAATATCTGGAGATGAAGACCATTATTTAACCAAAACCCCAGAATAGCTTTTAAATAAACCACAAAGACTGATATCTCTGCAAAATTTGCTCAAAGTACACAGCATACGTAATAATACCATTAGCTGCGAATCCATGGTTCAGTTGTTATGCTCCTACTCCATTTACCCACACTTCCTGTCTGCTTTTTACTGCTGCTATCCAATCAGGACAATGTGTTAACTCAAAGTCTTGAGAGCAAGTAATCCAAAGAAGACACTAGAAGTTCAGCGTTTTAGCAAGAGCAATGTAGTTTTATTGGTCTAGAGTTAATTAGGCTGAATAGGCAGCTATAGAGGAACATTCTTTGTGTGCTGCTTTGCGTAATTTTGCCACAGAACACGAGAACAACTTACCTGTAACGTGAGCAAAGATAACAGACACTGAATTGTCCATATTGGAATCAATTTTAAAACAAAGGTAAAGGAGATTTATTCCATAATTTAATCATATACACCAGGGAAATTAAAGCACTAAAGGGTTAAAAATAAAAACAAAACCATTTTTGTTAAAAGAGTTTTCTTAAATAAAAAAAGAAAAGAAAAAAAAGAAAAAAAAAAGATCACAGAGTTAGGTTTTGTTTGGCTGAGAAGAATAACGGTCAGAGGCACTGGTTTATGGGGGGGGGGGGGGGGGGGAGGAAGCTGCCCTCAACAAGTGACAGGACAACACCATCCTTCTTTCCTTCGAGTATCAGGGCAGAGCGCTTCCTCTTTAGAGGCATACACGCAGACAGAACACAGGCAGAGGTGTGGCCAGAGCTCCACATTCACGAGGAACAACAGCACCACACTCTCAATCATTACAGTAAGAGAAAAGGAGTCCCCTCCTGAAGGTAAACTGCAGTTTCAGGTCCAACTCTTTAGAATCATCTTGTAGTGACAGGGTAAGCAGTTCAATGGCGCCCTCTCTCTGTAGAGCAGGGAACTACAAATCATCATGAGTGACGGATGAGGTTAGATTGTACCCACTAAAAAGGCCCAGCATAATAAGGAGATGAGACAGCATACAGCATCAGCTCAGACAGGACTGAAGTGGCACAGATTAAAGAGAGAGTATCGGGCATTTGTGACACAAGTGTCACAGTCCAGGTGTTCAATTTCTATGTTGAGAGCAGTTTCAGTGGCACTCCACCATTGACCTAAAGTCCCCTCACCAATTCCAGGTCACTTTTCTCTGATCAAACCCCGCTGAATGGATATGAACCAGAACGGGTATAGGTGAAGGAATAGGGCGGTGATTTAACACGTTCACAGGTCGTTCGGGTTAACGATGGTAAAGTCAGAGTCCTTGCTGTGGGTGGAGCCTTCATCTGGGCTGGAGGAACCTGAGGTGGTGCCTGCCATTAGGGGATCTTGGAAAGTTCCAGCCGCACCCTCAGGCTCCATCCGCACCATGCCACGCCCCCGTCTGATTTGAGGAGTGCGCTCGGATGCAGACCTTCCTCCAGTTTCGGCGTGTAGGTCTCCGTCCTGGGAAATAAGGATGTAATCGTCCCAGTTTTTGCCCTCCAAGCCCAGAGAAGACGCCACCTGCATGCAAGAATCTTTTTTTTTAAACTGCATAAATGCCTAAAGTGTGAGATCACGCTTGCCTTGGCCTAAAGCTGAGTGTTTTGAGATAAACTTGCTGTGCTCGGCGGTATCATTCAGAAATGGTATAATTCTTAGGAGAGCAGATTTAGCATGACACACCATAATCCTGGAAAGATACAAAACCACTCTGAACACAGACTTGCAGACATGAAAGGGATTAGGATTTAAAATGAATGAATCCTGGGATCAAAGGGTCAAACAGCAGAACAGACGACGAAACATAATCCTGTATGGAGTGAACGTTAAACTGTATTTGATGCCAATACAGCTGGCAGAGGTACAGAGCAATAATTTACGCAGACAGGAAAAACGCTGACCTGTTGATCAAATGGTGTCATGGCCTGCTCCTCCTCCTTCTCGTCCATGCTCGCGCTCCCTTCCAGCTCGGAGTCCCTGCTCGGCCTGATGTTTGCCTGCTGTTGCTGGCCACTGTGGAGGCTGCTGGTGCTTAGAACAGTTTCACCTGCTGCTGCTGTGGACGTGTAGTGATCGTCAGCAATGGTGATTTCTTCATTCTCCTCAGCTTCCAGCTGGCTCTGGTTGAAGCGCAGCGCTCCCTTTAGGATGTCTTTAATCTGACAGGGAGAAGGAGGCCACAGAGATGAGTTAGTGAATATGATTATAAAAGGGACATCACAAAAATGAATACACACTTATAGCATCTGCTCACACAGTCACCTGTTTGAGTCCAGCCAGTGAGACCAGGACCTCATCCTCTTTCTCGATGTGTTCTTGGAGAATCACTTCCTGGATTTTACCTAGAGGAACAATGAGTGGTCAGGCACTGATCGGCCACAAAAATCGACTATATTACTATCACTATATTACAATTCGAAAACATAAACAGTATTATTATAGTCAGTAAATTTGTAGCAAAATTAGAAATTTACAAATTTAAGACAAAAATATAACCTGCAGCAGACGCTGACGCACGAGTGGAATTAGACTGAATGTTGTTGTTTTTTTAAGCCATGTAACCATGTGTGGCTGAACTTA